GATCATCTGAATTGTTTGTGTGTGTTTTGGAGGTTGTTATTGTTAATAAGATGCAGGATATATAGAGAGTAGGTTGCAGGAAAATGTAATTATAAAGATGAGATGGTCGAACTGCTATGACATGCAGATTCAGTAGGAAGCACCATCGCTGCCACTGTTTTGTTGGTTTATTCATGATTCTAGCATGCTTAATTAGCTGAAGCCTGAAGGATGATTAAAAAAAAAGGAACCTCTAACTTCTAGCATTGTAGCAATATTCTTCAATGTCAGATTGCTGCTTCCATAATTCATATTATTTTGTAGCTAATTCGAGATTAAGTATGAAATGTCGCTGGAATGTAGAAAATTTTATTCTTGTTAGAATTCCAATTAGTTACTTTGTTTTTTCTCATCTCTGAAACTGATACTATGGTTGTTGCTGTTGATGGTAAGAAGGTCTGCAAAGCAAGTGACCAATGGTTGATGCTAAGAGTAAAAATGCATACGAGCAGAGCTGGTGGTTCTCACCCCCCATAAAATTACATGATCCAGCTGCAAAGGCAGACCAAAAATGAGGATTATAGTTGCCAACAGCCTTATCAGTCTTCTGCTAGATTACATTAACAGAAGGATTGGTCAATGCCTCCTAATCCGATCTGATTCTCTTATATATCTTTAATTCTTTATGGCCCTTTCTTTGTTTCTTTCAATTCAATTGGAAAGATGTTATATGTCCCCACTTCGCTGATACATGCAAGCTTTTACAGTTGCCTTCTTTTAATTACACTTTCCTCCGTACTCACATCTAAAGAACACAACCACCCTAAAGTGTCTGCCTTTGCCTTTTAAGTCTCCCTAGGCAGTAAGGAGAGTAATTATTATCATAATTAATCCACAATGTCATAAATTAATTTCCTCAGCTCTATGAATGCCTCGAATATATATTCGAGTGTCGAGGAATAAAACAGCAATTTCAGAAAGTATGGGGCATTTTACGTGCAACCTCATACTGCTGGTAACTTAAACGAAAACACCACTTTTGAGAGAATTTCTATATATTTTCAATGTATATATAAACAACTTTGAAGGAACGAAAGAATAAAAGGCAGGGCTTTCTTTCTTTTCTTTTGAGGCTGATGGCAGGGGAGGAGTTAAGTTAACGTAGCACGCAACGTCGACTCATCAATGGTTCTCCTGGAGAGCATCGAACGAAGCATAAGATAAGGCCATAGAAGTGCAACAAAAAACAATAAAAACATCACCTAAACTTGAGTGACAGCACTATCAACTACGACGCGCATATATATATATATAATATACTAATATATAGTGATAGCCCTTACGCCCGGGACCCAGGCTCAACCATCCGCATGAAAAGAGGACACGTTGAGGCTGCAGAATGTTACAGGCTAAATGATGCTTGCTAGACAAAGAAAAGGATTATATTAAACTGGTAACAAATTCATTACTGTGTCTGCAAGCATTGATGCATATACGTACATATTTGTCTAGTAAAACTAGTCAACGTGTTTGTAATCAAGTCTACATGCACAAATGTAAATGCACCCATAGGTACCTGCACATGTTTGGGACCATGTCTCTTATACCTTACTGGCAATGGCCTGTTTTGATTGTTGACCTTCTATAATATGAGACCCACATCAAAATCATTAGCAACAGGATTTAAAGAAGGTTAATATCCAAGTACCATGTGCTTAACATGTTGGAGTGAAAATCCCCAATTTTTGTACTCGTCACAAGCTGCTCCGTGCGGCTTTGAGCCCTGGCCCTGAATCACCCTTACATCAAGCCCAGACAGCCTAGAACCTACCAAAAACAATCAAATCACAAGGATACTTGAAAGTAACACAATAAGTAACAATATCAGCGAACATACCGATATCTCAAAAGCAAGCAATGAGGCCTCAAGCGTCAGGCAAACCACACAAGTACTGAGAGAAAAGTTGAGGGCAAAAAGCCTTTAAATTATAAGTGTTTCATCAGCTATACAATGATTTACGCTGGAGTTTATACAGTCAAAGCCTTCTACACATGTCCCTACTTACACAAGTCAAAAATGAACCTAAGAGAGGCTCCATGTGAGTAACGACTAAGGAGAGTGAGTTACGGCTAGTGGGATTCAAATTGCAAGAAGAGGCTCCCAATAGTGGTTCACAATTCTGCACCTCTGTGCCTGACTGTCTGCTGCTGGTGCGGGTGGCTGCTGAGCCCGGACACCAGGCTGTGTGCGTTTGGCCCCTAGGCACAAACAGAGGTTTCCCATCAACCTGGCAATTGGAAAGAGAATTCCCATGGGCCCCAGACTCCTCAGACATGCACCCAGTCCGCACTTCTAATCCTCATGTGACCTGAGCCGAGACATATTCCCATAGTTGGGTACCTGGTTGAAAACATAGCAGCAAATATGTGTGACCCGAGATGAGTCCTTGTTAAGGATATCGAATTACATGTTTCAATCCGACTAAGCAAGTCTGATCGCATAAGATAACCAGAAATTTCAATCTCAAACCACTCAAGACTTTTACAGTCATGACTCACTAGAAACTTATTCTTACAAGTAATTTCTGTTCTATCCCTAATCTTAAACTCGCTCAGTTGGTAGCCGGATCAACTTTACTGGGACAAAATAGTGGACTCCACTCGAACATGGTTGAGTGTAATATTTGAATTAGGAATCTGAGATATGAAAATAGCCCAAATAGGGCAATGGCATTTCCAAAAAACTAACATGCCTTCAAATACTAAGGATTAGATATAATCAATACAAAATAACCTGACCTCAGGTTTCAATTAAAGAGACTGCAAACCTTACAGTGTCTAAAAAGGCATAAGAAATTTTCAATCTAAAAACAATACAGTTCAGCCAGCAACTTCAGCTTATACACATATTTATAAGCTCAGATTAACTAAACAAACATATAAGTCTTCTGCCATATCTGTTGGTTTGAATGATTTTCATATCAAATTCGTGGACTAAAAGAGTTAAATTTGACATTAGAAACTTCTCTTTTTATTTTGCTGGATATTTAAACCTGTCATGAACCAACTAAATTTTCTCCTCTTTTTTGAGCCTACTCAGTAATGAAAGCTGATATTCCACCTTTCAAAAAAAAAAAAAAATACAAAAGGAAAATGAAAATAAACCAGGACCACCTGAGAGCATACTTTTTCTGGGACAATTTTTGCTTAATGAAGCAAGTTTGCCATATTAAACTTGAGAACGCTGCTCAACCATACCTGCAAGGTTTTCATACGCTTTTCTGACCAAAGCCAGAATAAAAGATTTCAGACACGAAGATTATACTATTTGATTACAGCAGTTTCAGTAGAAGAAGAAGTAAATCTAGTTGTTACCATTGAGTAAGTCCCAGTAAATTTCCAAAATAAAATAACTTGCCAATGACCCTCCACTTTATGTCACTGCAGTGTGGTTAGAAAAAGAGAAAAAGTTAACTTTTAGCAGAAAAGATGAGAAAATACCCAAGAATACCTGCTGTGGGAAGGAGAATAGAGCACAATATAGCCTTGGCAGCTGAACAGCTTAAAACCTGTCCAGATGAAAGAATGCATAAGAAGCTCAACAGTGGGAGTCACCTAAATTGCAATTCTCCCATTTCTTCCACCACCACCCCCTCCCCCTCGCCACCCTTCACCCTTTTCTTATGGAGAGGCAGAACAATATAAAATAAAAAAAATTAACAGAAGCAACATGAAGCACGAGCAAATACAGTACCTCAAGTAGGTGGAGTTTGAAAGCCATAAATTTAAAACTTCATGTTCGCTTTTCCAAGCATGATAATATGAATTCTTCCTCAATCAGAAGCTAGATTGTCAGAAGATAACTTATAACTTCACAGCCTCACTGAAAGTGTTCAATTGCTTTTTTTGGATGCTGTAATCAATGAGAACGTGCAAAAAAGAGAGTATTATCTGCCACTAGAGAATTAATCTCAGGAGGCGATTGCTGAAGTAGCCCACTGTTAGACAAGTCTTCCAAGCCTTTGATATCCTGTTGCAAGCGAGTTGCACACAGAATAGCATGATCAAGAATAACAGGATCATCAGGGGGATTATGCAGAAGACTAAGCAAGGTCTGCCTATAAATTTGAGCTGACAACAATGGCCTTGCAACCTGCCGGTTTTTACATATCATTGCCACCTTGATGACATGCTTACAGATATTTCCCAGACTTGACCAGTTACAATCACAGAGGGAAAATTCTGAACCAGGGTTCCAAATTGTATAAGCCAGGTTTCTGTCTGTTTGGGAGATGACCTTTGCAAGCTGGAGATTCTGCTCATCCAATATGACATCGACATTTGGTATGTGGAGGGCCTGATACCAAGCATTGGTTGAGAAAGATTCATCTCTAAAATTAGGAAAGTATCCTGTTTCTCTGGTGTATTGATCTAACCAATATAAGGAGTGAAATTCCGTAGTCAAAGCGTGGATTAACCAGTCAATTCTAGGCCAGAAATTAGCATGTTGCTCATTAAAAAGCTTGTACTTCAATCTTCGGTGATAGGATTCAATGGCAGCATGGGGCTCTGGACCAGCAACAGGAAGGGACCTTATGCCACTAACCCATGATTCTGAAAGAGAAGAAAGCATGTTAAGTCAGAAATTTGAAATAACAACACAAAACATTATAGTTTGTTAACAATTACAGTTGTTAATGCTAAATGGCTATCAGTAATATAGTGTTACTACGCTTTTCATAGAAGCAACATAGTTTAAGATTCATGTAAAACAGCAGAACAGAGATTTGTTGCTGATTAATAAAAAGTCAACAGCCAATTGATACTCACCTATGTATGGTGACCATCGGCTCTTGAAATAATCTATAAAAGCAGATTGATCAACAAATATTTCCAAGAATTCTTCAACTGCATCCATAGCATTTGGCCCACTTCTTGAGGAATACAAAATCCAACCCAAGTGCTTAAACATCTCTCGCTGCACATCAATGTTGCAGCACTTCCTTAAAAGACTCCTTATCCAAGCACGGCGAACATGCCAGACACACAATAGAACCCGGCACTGGAAAGCATCTCTGAGAATAGGCAAAATAGATATCACATTTCCTTTCATAAAATCAAAATTATGCAACAAACTAGAAAGGTCAAATTGAAATTTACCTTATGACTGAAATCCCAAAAGAAGGATCATCTATTAAAAAGGCATTCACTCTCCATCTAGGGTCCTTTGTCCGGATTCTTTCAGAAAGGGAACCTATCCATTTATGAATATCTTGACCAACCAAAGCAGAGGTAATCACCCAAGCAACAGGAATTGCATTTTGGGAAGAGTCAAAGACGAGTAAAGTGGATAAGGGATACTGTCAATAGAGGGGATTTTCACCAAGTATAAGGTCTTAATCATTTGAAACAATAATAAACATAAAGAAATTGAGCTATATGTATGATAACACAGTCATGCATCCTTCAGTTTAAGCAACAATGGCTACCAGTATAACATGTCTATCTCAAACAGTTTCCAACCGATATATTTGCAACAATGGACACATAAAAGAATAGAAAACCAAAATGGTATAACAAAAATCTGAAATTATTATCTTTGCTTGATATTGTACTTATTTAGGTATATCCTACCTTTGTATTTCTTTAGGTTTGAACATCACAGGTTTCACTTTCTTTGGTGTTTTCCTCAACCACAGGTGTAAGGATTCCAGTAATTCCAGATTTTCTGGGAATTACAGATATCAAGTATTGGGACTTACTTTAAGCTTTCCTTATGTATAGTAAGTTTTATTTATGGTTTAGAGTTCTTTTAAGTCCATTTTGGTAGTGCCTTATATTGAATATTAAATCCTTGTGAGAATAAGATTACTAGAACTGTATAGATAAGCATGACACATCTTTCACTAAATAGCGAACAAGCTTATGAGAATTATACCAACTGTTCTGTTTTATTTCGAATTGTGCCAAACAACCATAATCCTAGATGTAAAGCATAAGGAGATCTTGTGAAGCCGTGATCTTTCTCTTCTTATCATTCTTTAAATCTCACTTCTGTTTCAGACTGGCAATCAGATTTGAATCATTCTCTTTACACACACACACACACATGTATGTATATAAGGTATATTTAAAGAATACCTTAAGTTTCTTTGAGCCAAAGGTAGAATGAGAGGCTATTGAACTATTATGTCCATAGCGAAGCATCTGTTGCAGCTGCCAATCTGTCTGTATACCCAAAATCAAAGGTTCTGAACCAGAAGCATCTTGGAAGTAAAAAACATGTTTTTGATGCCTTTGTACCCATACTTTTACACTGCACTCGTCATCAATATGAAGTTCGTGTGATGCATTACGAATAACTCTTTCAATGTTGCGAACATCGTTTCGTGTGAGAAAATCATCTCGGTTGTGCGGGCCCCCATGCCTTTGGACCACATCCATGTGATGCTGAAATATGTTGTCCAAAGATATTCCAACATAAAGCATAGATATCAACTTCTGGCGTAATTCCTCTGAGATTCGTGGAGCATACATAGCTCTTGTCCCCACCGCATCCTGATCAAGTATCCCATGACAAGGGGCCCCTGTTTTATCTACATGCTTCCTTTGATTATATATAATAAGGGCAAGCAAGGGGCGGGTGTACAAGCGCTTTACAGTAAAATGGCAAAGGCAACCTCTCATCATGTGGCGTCGCCCTGGCCTGCTCCCCTTCCCCGTGGCAGGTTTCATGTTTGAGACATCCCCAAGACCAGACTCGCTATCTCGGTAATCTTCAGGACCATAAGAACACCAGTACCTGCAAAATCCCCAGACTAGCTTCTATGTTACTTAATGTGCATAAAGATGGGCTATTAGCATTAAAAAAAAACATTATTGCAAGGAAAGATGTGGCAGAACACACACACAGATACGCACCCACCAACACATGCACATATAGAATATGATACACTGAAATAATTTTCCTGATAAATTTTGTTGCGACATGATTAAAACTGCTAGCCTTAGAGATATATTAATATTTTGCATAGAGAGCCTGAAAAAAATCAAAGATTATGAAAAGACTGCTATGATGAGACAAGAACAAGTTTTGCACAACATCTGCAGCCTTTGATGAAAAACGGAAGAGTGTTTTGAAGAACTATTGTCATAAAAACAATACCAGAAGTATTATATAGTAACTGGTTTTCATTTGACAAAGAATTTTAAAGAGAAAAAAAATAAAGTACATTATCAATTGGTGGCACAAAGTTTGACCAGAAAGGCTGTAAATTACTTAAACAACATATAATATAAATTGAAGATAGCCATGAAACTCAAAAAGAGAGGCACTTTAAGTAGCTACTAGCAGAAAGTTATTTTCAAAGAAACTTAAAATCAAGCAGTCTTGTTTACTAAATGGAGTTGAATTAGCAACACACAGCGTATACTCAAGATATCCATCAACCCTTGGTTTGCTGATACTCCCTTCAGATCTCTTCCTCCTCGACTCAATGCGGAAACTAGCAGGACATTCTGCATTAGACGACTCTCCTTTTACAAAATCATCTACTCTAGCAAACGGGATTAAAGCAATATCATCACCACCATGGCGACCACCTTCTACTTTTACCCACTTTATGTGAGCAGCAGAAAACTCTGTACATGGAGGATCTTGCACTGGAAGGTTAAGAATGTCCTCCATTCTTGGGATCTAAATAAAATAATTAAAAAAAGAAACAAATAAAAAGTTAATGCAAGGAAAAGCATAAAAGTAGGACTCCAACAAATGAAAGGCAATATACCCACATCTAATTATCTTACTCATCATCTTCTAATCGTTCACAAAGTAAACTATAACATCACTATCTAATTTATCGCTCAACCAATTAATGATTGTGAATATTTCTACTTGAACATCTTATTTTGTTCAAGAGTAGTGTTCATGTCTGCCTCGCACCACACCTTTCCACTAAATGCAAGTATTTCGGATAACATAAAAGTCAGAAGAAGAAAACTTTTACTTCCTTTCGATTTGATTACATGGGTAGAGATGTTTTCACAAAGAATGGCGTAGCCAGGTTACAATCAGCAAATAAACTACTTATTCAAGATATAATTTAAGACCAAAAAAAGGATTAAAATTTAAAAAGAAAAGGCCTTTGGAAGACAATGCTAGTAAACAGAGGTAACTTGAGTAAGAAATTGAATAATTACCTTTGATTCATGGCTCTTCATGCTTCCTCTAGATTGAATAATTCCTCAAACTTTTACTTTCCTCCACTAAATTCAAGAAGAAGAAAAAAACTATAAATTAGAAACTGAAGCTCATGCATTTTAGAGATTAACTTAACTTGATCCATCAGGAAGATATAATAAAAACTTTATTTCACAAAGAACCCCACCAATAAAATGCTTGAATTCTGACACCCGAAGGCAAAATTCAAAGAACCCACAAGGTAAAAACCAATAAATATGACAAAAAAAAAACAAAAACAAAAAACTTTAAAAAAAAGAAGAAGAGGAGAAAATAGAATCAAAGAACAAAAACAAAAAAAAAAAACCCAAAGTGGAAATGAGAAGCTGGTTCTAAATTTAAGAAATTTACCTTCGTAGATGAGTCGGGGCAAATTATTACAAGAGCTAATTAAAAGGATTTTTTTTTATTTTTGTGATTTTTCGGTTAATGTAATAGACCGTCTTTTCTGTTTCTCTCGAGGTGGGGGCTTCCGTCTCCGGCTCTCCAGGAGAGTGATCAAATTTATTACTTTTCTGTTAAATTTACTGGCTAAATTTTAATTCGCTCAATATCATTAATTTTTTACAAATATTGGATAAAATACCTTATTTTTAAAATTTTAATTAAAATTACATAAAAATTTATTAATTTTTAAAATATATAATTCGCTCAAATATTAAAAACACTGTTAATAAAAATAATAAAAAATTAAAATACTTTTTTATTAATTTAAAAAATTATATGATATTTTTTAAAAAATAAAAAAATAAAGAGTACCAATCGGTGCTTCCAACTCCTCAAGAAAAAAGGAGCACAACCGGTGCTCCCTTAGGAAACTCGACACTCTTTTGGGGGTTGGAGAGTTTTTTTAATTAACAAAAAAATAAAATGTAAGTAATGATAATTATAAAAATTAATCAAAAATAAAATTATTTTTTTATTTTTGTTATATCAATAAGTTGACGATTAATTAACGATTAGATTTACATAGTTATTAAAAAATATTTTTTCAAGATCAAGTGTATATTTTAAAGATTAATAAATTTTTATATAATTTCGATCAAAACTTAAATAATAAAAATATTTTACTTTAAAATATATCAATGAGACCATTCTAAATAATTTCATTCAAAAAAATAATAGTATAATAGATAATCAATTAAACAATCATTTCATTTAAAACTTTGTGTTGACTTTTGCTACTCATTTTTTTTATTCTCAATTTATTTTTTTAATCTTGTTGAAATGAAAAATCTACTAATATAATGAAGAAAATAAAAACATAAAAAGAAAAAATAATAAGTTTATAAATGACATGATTATGTAAATAATTACTTTATTTTCATTAATTATTCATTTAAACAAACCCTATTAAAACGATTATATTGGATACAATTAAAAAACTCATTGATTAATTAAGATAAATTAAAGTTCAATGAAAAGAGTGAAAAAAGGAAATAAATTTAGTGAGTATCCATAAAATCTGTTAGTAAATTAATGTATACTTAGATTAATATATATACTTATTAATTAAATACAGTTTTTTTGTTTTTGAAAATAAAAAGTAAAACACTCATTTTAGATTTAAAAGTAAATAAAAGTACTATTAAAGAAATTTAAAATATAAAAAACTATAATATTTTGTAGGCCAACAAGGAAGTATCAGCATGCACTTCTTTACAGGATTAAGTCTCCACCAAAAAAATTATAAAGCTATTTATCCAAAAAACAATTTTGAAAATTTATATAATTTACAATAGACCATAAATATTTCAATTTGTGAAAATCAATTGTGATATCTCATCATATATCAAATATAAAATTTATATAAAAGTCTAAATCAATTATCATTAACAAATTAAATTTAATATTTTAAAAATTATATGATTTAAAGTATGTATCAAGTTGCATTTTAGTATTTGTTTTTTTTTTTTGGTACATGGGAGCTGACACCGCTTAATTTATCACAGCTCTAGGTCTAGCAACACCAACTAAATCATCTTGAAGCAAGGGAGGTAACCCACCTGGAGGAGATAGCCATGTAACGACATCAAATGCCCCCAGTTGAGCCCTCTTAGCAAGAAAGTCAGCACAGAAATTTGCTTCTTTATAAATATGAGATACAGAACATACGCAATCTCTCATCAATAACTGCTGGATAGAGTAAATAATTTGTGAAAGAGGATCCTTATCTTGGATTATTTGATGAAATTTCTAGACAGCAACTTTGGAATCCGATTCAACCACAATCCATCGTAATCCATGATCCTAGGCTAATTTAAGACCTATATGAACAGTATGTAGTTCAACTTTTAGGATAGTACCCATTCCAAGTCTACTCGTGAACCCAAAGATCCAATATCTACGGTTATCTCGACGTAAACCTCCCATGCTAAGCTTTCCTGAATTGGAAGTGGCAGCTGCATCAACATTCATCTTGACAAAGTTCTCAATAGGTGGTTGCCAAGCAATAAAGCTCAACTGTTGAAGAAGAGAAGAACAACAACCCACTTGAAACTCCATGTAACCCCTTGTAGCTGCAATTAGAGCAAAATTAGCGTTGGATGGCTATTGATATCCTCCCTCAAAGAGGCACTTAGTCCTAAGCTTCCAAATATGCCAACAAGCAAACCCAAAAAGGTTGGGTCAGCAAATGTTACCTTCTACAAGAACATCATTCCTATTAAGGTTATAAAAGATCCAATCTTGCAAAGAAAGACCATTAAAATGGTCAAGGTGAGCACCCTGAGATTCAAAACAATCCTGTAAGGCATGTAATATATCTTCCATTTCAGCATCGCATCTTGGACATCGAGAAGTCTTTGAAATTTTCTTTCAAAGACTGGCCTCCCTTGTAAGGATATGGTTATGTCCAACTAACCAGAAAAAGTGACGGATTCTAAGTGGCCATCCCATGGTCCACACCCGAAACCAAGCAAAAGAGGTTGCAACATGGTTTTGTAACAATGACTATGTAGAACTAATTGAAATATTACCATGAGGAGAAGGTGACCATATGACTTGATATTCTTTACTGGGGTGCAAATGCACCAAAGGTAGTTGGTCACACAAACCTTGCGGTAAAACATTTAGCTTCTCATTTATCCATCTCCCATTTTCATCAATAAAATCACTCACAACTTCATGAGATAGGTGGTTCATAGATAGTTCACACACCTCTACTAGTGTTTTGGTCCCTAACCACCGGTCATGCCAAAACTTGGTGTTTCTTCCATTGCCAATTAGTTTCGAACAGCCTTGTTTGACCACTTCTTTTGCTGAACAGATGCTTTTCCAGATGTAAGAAGCACTTGACTTGGGAATTGAACGAATAAAAAGCTCACCCTTCAAATATTTTGCTCGAAGAATTCGTGCCCACAATCCTTGATCACCATCTCAAGTTTCCAACCCAATTTGGATAATAAAGCATTATTCATTTCAACAGTTTTTCGTATCCTTAAGCCACCCATTTTCTTTGGACGACACACTATATCCCAATTAACCAGAGGAATTATTTTCTTACCATCTATAGCACCCCATAGAAAATTTCTGTTCATCAATATCTTTAGCAACTCCAATTGGCAACTTAGTTGACTGCATAATATAATTAGCAATTGTACTAGTCGCCAATTGAACCAAGGTAGCTCTCCTTGCTAATGATAATTGATTGGCTTTCCAAGATGATAATCTCTTTTTGACTTTCTCTAAAAGGTAGCTATAAGTATGTTTCCCAACCCTCTTAGGGAGAATAAGAACTCCAAGGAAATGACCAAGATCATCCACATGCTGCATGCCCTAAACAGTTTTCATTACCTCCACCGCCGAGGAAGGGACATTATTTGAAGAAAACAATTAGATTTCGAGAAGTTCACTTTTTGTCCAGAAAAGGAACAAAAATCATTTAGACACTTAATCAT